GCGCGGGGGTCGCGGGGCTCTCCCGGGCGGTGCCCGGCGGGGCGCAGCCGCCGCGGGCTGTGGCGAGGCGCAGGGCCGCCGGAGCCCGGCCCCTTTTCCCGGGGATGAAGCCGGTGGGCGCTGCGGGCGGGGCGCGGCTGCCCCGGGCCCTGCGCGCTGACGGGCTCCCGCCGCAGGCGCAGGTGGACGACACCGAGGATGTGTCCCTGGATTTCGGGAGCGAGGAGGAGCTGGCGCTGCGGAAAGCGCGGATCAGGTAACGGCGCGGAGGCCGCGGCGCCCTGGCGGCCCTGGCTGCCCGGTGTACAGAAAACTCCATTTAAACACTTCATTCCCGTTTTTTACAGGGAGGGTGGTCAAGGGCTGGAACAGGCAGCCCGGGGAGGCTGGGGGGCCTCTGTCCGGGAGATGCCCGGGCTGGAGCAGGCGAGGCCGGGCCCGCTGCCCGGCACACCCGGTGACTGGAAATGAAAACCTGACACACCCAAGATCCCGAGCAAACCCCGAGCAAACAGTGCTTTAGTGAGAGCTGGAGCAGTGGAGACGGCTCGCAGCTCCAGCAAAGCCCGCTGTGCAGCAGTGCTGAACCACCAGAGAGCTGCAGTAAAGCTGTCATGATTTCCTACCACGGGATGTGATGCTGTGTGGAATATAACATATCTTATGCTTGTAGACATTACCTGGGAAAACCCAGCCCTTTAACCCATGTCATGTGTCAAGCTAAGCTTGGGTTCCTCACCAGAGGTGTCACTCTGCAGCTCTGGCCACACAGAGGTGCTGGGTGACAGAGCTGTTCAATCAGAAGAATCTCCAATCAAAGATTGTGAAAGGAAGAGTTTTATGTCAAAAGGAATTAGGCGTGCACTGATCAATAATTTATATAATCAGCTTTGATTTAGATTGCTTTCTGTGCCTTGCCCCAGTTTGGTCTGGTCCGTTCCAATGATTTCTTGTAGGTGCAAACAAAGAAATATAATAGATGCTAAACCTGATAAAACATTATCTGAGATAAAAAACAATCATGTAGCTTTACAATAACATTACTCTTTTACAAGTGTCTGGTGAAGCATTGCTTTGGACTTTGTCACTACTTGAGTCAGCCCTGACATAAGATTAACTGCTTTGGTTTGACACCTTAGCAACAGCACACATTTTAAATGAAGGTTTATATTTTGGTGCAGTCTTGGAGAACATAGCTTCAAGGATTCAACTAAGCTGGGAAATACAGCTTAGAAGTACCTAGATCACATGAGCCACAGGTTCTGAGGGACCAGACTACATTTAGCATGAAGTGAAACCACCCTGGAATGTTTTAGGAGGTCACAGCACGCAGCACGCAGCACTTTACTCTGGAGATTCCTCCTGATTCATGCTGCTCAGTAATACAGCACAGGTGAAATGTCAGCAAACTGTACTGCTCTGTGATCCACTTTGTGTACAGTGGCTTCATTAGAGACAGCTCTTCATTCTGGCCCTCAAGACAATATTAAAAGATGATGTAGTATTGAAAATTCATCTGCTATAGAATGCAGAAATGAAACTGCTTACACTGCTCACACATGTTTGTTTTTGTATTTCTGAGGAATCTTGTGCAAATGAGCCTGGAAGTCACCTAGGTGCTGCAAAATTTTGTTATCCTATTGGAGGGCATAACAAGGTGTTCCAGTCATTTGTCTTTATTCCAATTTCATATATCTTGAACTTGGTTATAATTTGCATAGACTATGACAAATTGTGCTTTTGTGATTCTCTGATGGATGTGCAGAAGGGCTCCTTAAAAGCAAAAGGTTAGTGGTTACTTGCCTAAAAAACTGGGAAAAGATAAAATACTTTCTGGAAATTGGGAAGTTCTTCCTCTTTCCTAAGAAATTGGAAAAAGATTGCAGTACCAGGACTTTGGATCTGGAAGTAAGGAGCATATGATTGCTTCTTTTACAAATCAGCCAGGAAACATAGTGATCAAGGAGAAAAGAGAGCTCATTTATTCAAAATTTGCCTCAATACACTTTGAAGTATCAGACAGAAAGAAAAAAAAAAAAAAGGAGCATATGATTGCTTCTTTTACAAATCAGCCAGGAAACATAGTGAGCAAGGAGAAAAGAGAGCACATTTATTCAAAATTTGCCTCAATACATTTGAAGTATCAGACAGAAAAAAAAAAAAAAGGGCAGCATGTAGAGTGCTGTGGCACTTGTGAGCAGGCACCTGGAATGATTCTCCTGTAGTTCACTGGCACAGCTTAGGCCTGACCCAGCTTTGATTCTTTAACATGGGATGCAACTAAATTGCTTACAGCTCATTCCTGTCCTAACAGGCATCATGCTCCCAAACTGAACAGAGGTTATCTTAACAAGGAGCTGAGCCTTGAGGCTCCAGTTGTACATCACATGGATGTTTAGATGCAACAGCAAGTGGGTTACTGTCCCCTCAGGAGCAAATCTATGCCAAGCTGAGCCATTGTAGAGTTGCAGTTTCCTTTATCCTTTCCAGAGTCCCAGTAAGTGCTCAGCACTGTATAAATGACAGCTTCTTGCTCATGTGTTTTGTTTGTTTGGTTGTGGGGTGTTTTTTTGTGGGTTTTTTTTAGTAAAAATTCAGCATCCAAACAGTAATCCTGTTGTAATCCAATAATACTGCTCAATCTGCCTTCCAAAACAAAACATGAACTCTCCAGAGTTACTGCCACGTTTGAAGCACTGATCCATTAGAAAAGCTCAGGCAACCCTGCTGTGCTTTGGGGTTGTGATCTATGAAAGCTGCTCTGGACACAAGGGCACCCCTTCCATAACTGACTCTTGCATTTTCTTGACCAAGATCAAGGCTCAAAGCAGCAAGGCCCTTTCTGGTTTAGCCAGTTCACAATATCTCCTCCACCCACCTGGCTGCTTATGGCAGAAAAAGCCCCTTTGCTTAAAATGTCACATGTTCAGCTCTAAGTCAGAAGAAGTTTTTGGAAAGTTTGAAGTTCACATGGGCATGATCAGGAGTAAATATAAACTTCACCTGTGCATCATCCTTCCCTCCCCAGTCATATGTGTAGTACTACCAGCACAGTATTACCACTGGAGAAAGATAAACACCAGAACAGTTAAACAGCTGTAGAGTAATAATGTAACAACAATGCTATTGAAATGCTAAAAGTTATTATACTTATATAGCTGTAATTGAAGTTTATAGTAAGCAATTGTGTATATATTATATGTCTCATTTTATTAAACACAAGAACAGAATAACATTTAATAGTTAAATAGTTGATTACGCCCTAGGCCATACTTGTGTTAATTGGCTATTCTACTGTTAATTGGTCACAGAGGCAAAGGAGCTTAAGGAGAAAATTGTTGACTTAAATATCTTATTCAGATATTTTATTCTCTAAGCTTCAAGGAAGAAGTTACTTAACAGCAAGAGCCTGTAGTTAATTCTCACTTTCAACTAATTAACACAAACAATTGCACAGAGTAAATTTTTTACTTGGCATCTTACCCTGAAAATTGCACTGTGCTCCTTACAGCATTCTCCAGCCCCCCACCCCACTGTGCAGGCCAGTATTCCATGTCACTTCTTACTGAAGTGAGTGACATGAAGTATTCCTTCTCAATTCTTACTTCTTCCACTCAAATTTCTCTTTATTTTGTTACAGACAAAAACTTGTTCAATGAGCAAAGTGTAAATATTAGTGAAATTGATAAGCAGTAATTCAGAAGTACTGTTAGATTCCCAAATCATTCTGCCTAAAAAGGAAGTGTTTGGTTTAGACATTAAATATGAAAGTTCATTTTGTCTTTTAGCAAACAGCTACAATTTTTTAGAGTTCATATTTTGTTTTCAAAGCTGTTCTGAAAGGCATAAGAGCTCTCTCAATTCTTTTGTGCTTTGCAATGCTGACTCATTTAATGAAACAACAAGGATTTTATGGTACTGTGTTGCACACAGCCACTAAATTCCTTCACAGAGGACCAAAGAATCTGGTGAAAGGCTCCATATTTTGCTCTGTCTTTGAGAATGTTTTGACAGGAACACCACATTTGTCTTTTAGATTTAGACTGAAGCTTGGCTATTGAAAATAACATTGTTTGATAATGAAGATATATAGCAACACTGAAATAACAGCAGCTGCAAACCAAAATACCATTATAAACCTGAAATACCTGTGTTGTGCTACATTGTCAGCAAGCACTGTAACATTCCCTGCTGTCCCACAACCTCACATATGCTCTGTGCTTTTTCTAGGCACCCACTGGCCACCTTTTTCCACCTGTTTTTCCGAGTGAGTGCTATTGTTACCTACTTGTTCTGTGACTGGTTCAGCAACAGCTTTGTTGCCTGTTTTGTCACTATTCTCCTCCTTCTATCCTTTGACTTTTGGTCTGTCAAGGTAAGATGACCCTGAATAGTAATTACCTTGGGAAGTATTAATTAAAAAAAAATAATTCAAATATGTATAATGACAGAAGTGACAAAAATATTGCAATCTGTTGATTTATTAAATGTCTAGCCCATTTTAATGAAGATGTTCACATATGTTAGTTATTTAGCACCATATTTTCTATGGCTGACTACTAAGGTCTACTAATATGGTGGGGAAATTGCTTTGCCATAGGTAGATTTGTTTGTATGCTTCCTCCCTTAAAAAAATAAATTAAAAAATCAATGTAATACTGGCTTTCAGCAATGGATGCCCAAGGATGTCAGGATCTGCAACCTTGTGCCCAGACCCCACAGCAGGGGCTGCAGAAGATTCCTGAAAAGCCAGCTATAGCTCTGGTACCCTAATCCCATGCAGGCAGGTGGGTCAGGCCAGCCCAGGATCCAGGAGTTCCATATGTTGAGCAAGGCTTTTGTTTTGTAGAAGTGAAGTATTGATGCACCTCCAGTATTCTGAAAGCTTCTGGTTCATCCAGGTGCAGAAATATTTTCTTGGTTTGTTTTCCTGATCCTACACAGCTTGCTTGTCATTAATCTCCCATTTTCCAGTGTGTTTCTGTTCTCAGTATTCCTCTTTTACTGAGGAAATTTGTTTATTGGGTGCTTGTCCAACTAACTGACTTGAAAAAGATAAAACTTATAATTTCTTGTCTAAGTAAGTGCTATTGTGCTCATTATCACATTGAAAGAGAAGAGGCCTCTAAATTTGTAACTTCACCCATTGTTAATGGCTGTTGTACTCAAGCTGGAACAGCTTTTAGAAGTAATTTTTGTATTAGATAAAAGATGGTTTTTGAACATGCTTGTCTTTTTAATTTTTTCTATTTTTAACTGTTATACTGACAAGTGACTTGTGCTACTGATTAATGCAAATAATGGTTTCATCACTAGAATGTGACAGGAAGACTCTTGGTTGGTTTGCGTTGGTGGAACCAGATTGATGAAGATGGAAAAAGTCACTGGGTGTTTGAAGCAAAAAGGGTAAATATATTAATAGAAGCACGCACAAGGCAAACAGAATCCATAGGAAATTTGTAAAGCAAAGTCAAACAAAGTAACAAATAGAGCACCTTTGTAACAGTTACTTTTTATCCAGCTTCCATAGAAAACAATGTCAGTATTCAGGTGGAAACACCGTCACATCCTGGAAGTATTCAGGGCAAAACAGGTCTCATAGCATTGTCAACACGTGGATCAGCAGAATAAATATTCATAGCATGGTGCTATAGGTATGAAATGTTCCTGGTAGTTCTGTTTTATTTTCTAAGGAGAATATCCTGTAACAAACACATCTTTGCATTGTTAATCCCTACACAGAATCCTCTTCAGGAAAGATCTACATGGAGAGCAATGCTGAATAGTTCAGATTCAGTATTTTGAAGTTAATATTTTATTCACCTTCATGGAATATGGTGGAAAAGAGAACCTGCATCAGAGCATTCTGATACTGCCAGTGCCCCCCAAACACACTGAGGTGGGGAAAGAAGCACAATAGAATGGCATTTGGCATCACTGCCAGAGTCAAGTCGGGGTTTTGCTTTCACTTGCTGACATTCTCTCTGCAGCCCCACTGAGCCTGGCAGAGCAGCACCCAGGTGCTGCCCACTGGGACATTCTCTGGAGCCCTCCAGCAGTGCCCCCAGCCCGGCTGGCTGTGCCGCTGCTGTCCGGTGTGCGGGACCGCCGTGCCCTCTGCAGTGCCCTCTGCAGTGCCCTCTGCAGCTCCATCTGCAGCTCCCTCTGCACTGCTCTCTGCAGCCTCAGCTGCGGCTCCAGGTGCCCCAAGCACTGATGACAAAATAACGTGCTTTCTGTGAGTCTGAGGGAGGCCTGAAGACACACACAGTAGAGGAAACCTGCAGGACAGAATACATGGAAAATTCAATATAATGAAAATTATCTAAAAAGCTTTTCAGAGTGGAAGAGTGCAGAGGGTTTTCTTTTCCATTTGTGACGCTTCTGTTTCAGAAGTTGGCACTATTGGTCAGAAGTTTGGAGTGAGATTTTGAATTTTGGAAAGATCAGAGCCTTCTGAACAATTCTATTTAGGGTTTGGTTTTTTTGTTTGTTTTTTTTTCTTAAGTGTGATGAGTGATGAGCCCTTCAGTGAAGATAGAGACATGTGAGTTGTGCTAACCTGAAGAAACCCGTAAGCAGGGCTTTGCAGCCTACTCTGAAGTGTCTGCTCCTCCTGAAGAACAGACAGAGCATGGGGCATAAGGCAGTTACAGTGTGTCCCTTGCAGTTACAGTGTGCCCAACTCCAGCATGACACAAGAGGCATTTTCAAAGCCACAGTTCTTAATTCATGGAAAGTCAGCAGAGTTCAGAAGCAAAACCAAGTATTTATATAATAGGAATACATAATAGTTTATATAATAGGAAAATAAGCTTCATGCAAGATATAAATTAATCTAAGATACAGCATCTTTTTATGAAAATGTACAAAAATGTGCACTTTTATAAGAATTCCAGTCTGAACTAGAAGCAACTGATAAATCCTATGAATGAAAATGCTGTTGTGTACAGTAGGGCATCAGGAAGGAAACTGGGCATGAGCTACTTTTCTTAGTTGATCTTCTTCTATGCATATGATAAGTGAAATCTTCCTCCTCTGTTGTTATTTATTATGGGTTTTGACTTTGTGACTTAACAGTCCCAATTTTTTCTTCCAGGTGCCTACAACAGCTGCCTCAACTGAAGCTGAAGCCCGAATCTTCTGGCTTGGTCTCATCATCTGCCCAGTGATTTGGACAATGTTTTTCTTTAGCACCTTGTTCTCCTTGAAGCTGAAATGGCTGGTGAGTCAGGGGATACTGAAAACAATTTTGGTAGAGGGAAACCCAGATCTGTTAGTTTTGAACCAAGTCTTTCAACAATAGAAAAATTTCACCAGCAGCTTCAAAGAATCCCGAGGAGTTTTCTGCAGTCAAGGCTTGCACTATGGAATGGATTGGTAATTTTAGCTGCACTTCCATTGAGTTATCAGATGTCAACTCCTTTCTCTAGAGGAGCTCAGGTGGTGGGCAACAGGAGCTTCTGTTTAACTGTAGCAACTTACTCTGCCCCAACTTATTTCAGTCAAATACAACTAACAGGAGAGGACAAAACATGAACCAGTGATGTTGGTTTTCAAGTTTTTAGGTCTCCTGGGTACTTAAATGTACTTTTAAAAGGAAGGAATTTAGATCTCTGGTACCATTCCCTTTTGAAAAAAATCAGCATCATTAGCTCATAAAACCTTGATAAACTGAGCTATAAGTATTTTATAATTGCTCTACATGTAAGTCATCTACTTAAAAAACCCCCGACACTTTTTTTCTAAATATGAGAGGAAATTTACCCCATATATTGCATTATATTAAGATATTTTTGTCTATGAAATCTTCACATTTTCCCCTGTAAACATTAAATGCTCGGCTAGCTGCCACACTATTCATTCTGTCAAGTTCCCAGCCATGCTCAGCACCATGCCTTAATTCAGTTTGAAAAGATAAAAAGCACCTCTGACATGTGCAGATACATAACCAGTAACAGCCAAGACTGCATATTCATTATTCAATTAAACAAGAAATTCAGCTATGGGCATGAATCAATTGCAAATCATTAACTGCTTTCTGCTGCCCCTAAAAAAGCAATAGTTAAAATTAAACCAGCACTCTTTGTTCATGGCTCCACCTTTACTTTTGAAAAGCAGAGATTGTTTGCTAAGCCAAGAGCCGCTTGGAGACAGAACTCTAACTGGCACAGAAGGCAGGTTGTCCAGGTGCTTGTAAAAGGCAAATTACACAAACTAAAATAAAATCACTTCTGGGAAACTGGTTCTGAAGGCTAAGAGAAACATTTGTATAAGTTACTGCATTAGTCAGATTGATTCCACCTGCTGCTAAACCTAAAGTACCACAAAAAGAATTGATTATTTTCACTGCCTGTCAATGCTAGATAGGGAATCTATCTATGGATGCTCTTTGTAAATCCATAAATTACAGATCTTACTTGTTTATAATAAGTTGTTTGTCAGCTGAACAGGCCTGCAGGTGTGCTACTAATCTGGATGTAAAACTTTTAGATACTAATGGGGCTTAAAAAAAGTGAAATGTTTCTGGAATTTGTTGAGTAGGTCCTTTTTCAAGTGCTTTTAGAAAAGTAATGAAGTCTTTCAAGATACAGAATGACAAAACTGGTATTGATGTTTTGATAAAAATAAATATTTGTAGAAAGGAGCTATTGCGTTTGACATGATTGGATGTCTTTGGAGGCCATTTATGATCGGGAATAACGTCCCCCTCTTACAGCAAGCTTATAGTGTGTGTAACAGTATCCAGCAAGCTGGATAGTGTTTACACACACACACACACACACACGTGTATATCCTACACAGTTAATGCACAGCCATGGATTTGTTCCTGCTGAACTCTTGTTTGTCCACAGGCTCTCGTGATTGCTGGGATCTCCCTCCAGACTGCTAATTTATATGGCTACATCCACTGCAAGTTAGGGGGACAAAAAACCATCAGCAGAGTAACCTCAAGGTTGTTTGGCACCACAGATGTTCCCAAGAGTGAGTACTGGGCTTCAGCCCATGGGGTAGAACAGCCAGCCTGCCTCTCAGGGCTAGTGCTGGCTTTTCCTGGGTCTCAGTTCCTGCAGTGAGTCCAGGATAATCCTGATTCTCCACCAAGCCTCTGGCAGTGTCACATGGAAGAGCCACAACCCCAGGTCACTTTGCTCCATGTTTGGAAGCCTGTTGAGCTCCACAGCTGAGCTGCTTCCAAGCTCCAGAAGAATGTCCTTAAGTTAAATCCTTGGAGTTGCTATAATTCTAATGCCTCTGTTTAAGCAGAGCTGGAAGAGCCATCTTCAACATTCAGGCTTCCAGCTGGCAGCTCCCTGCTTTTGGAAGAGATCCCTGTGCCCCAGGTTATGCTTATAGCCATGTGTGCTCTGTTCCCTCAACAGGACAGAGCAGGAGAATTTCAGAAGATGGCATTGAAGAACATGGGAAGACAGGCACTAGGTAACCAAACATGGAAGAGCTAAAGGATGAGCAGTAAAAAAAGTAATGAAAGTTGTTCTTCATGGGAAGATATATAGACAAAGCTCTTCTAGAATTATGCCTGCATGAAATAAAGTCATTTGTGTTTGAGTCTTTACATCCTGGAAGGTTTAAAACCTTTGTTATTTAAAAGCTTCACCAAAAAATTGTTTGTGTGAGCACAGACAGTGCTCATGGTTTACAAGGAGCACGCTGCTTTCAGAAAAGCTGTCAACTAACCTCAAACTGTTGGATTATCTTAACCAGAAATTACATGTAATGAAAATATGATGCTGATTTGCTTAACTTTGGAACTACAATAAACAAAATCAAACTGCCTTTCCCTGTAGTACACAATACTGATTTTTCAGAGCTTTCAAACTACAAACACAAAGGGCCTCTTCATTATTAAACATACTGAATGTTTATTTTTTTAATGTTCAAGCTTAGGGTCAAAGAGAAGAAAACAGAAATCATGAACCATGTTCACCCACTACTTATGTGAAGCTGGCAGTTATGTATAGTTAAAAAATTAATCTTGTTTTGATACCTGTAAAAAAATTAAAAAGCAGTGCACTTGTACTATAATACTACCCCAGGCTTTCACTCTAGACACACATTTTCCACTGAAAGGAGACACTTAAATATGTTATTCAGGGAGAGGCAAGGAGCATTAGAGCTCACCCTTGTGCAGCAGGCAGAACAAGGTTGCTCCACATGCCCTAGTGTCAACCCAGCATATTTTATATTCAACCTCCTAAGTAAAATGTGGGTTGTATTCTCACCTCTTCAACTGCTACCTGCACAGTCAGGTTATTGGTACTGGAGGCAGAATGCACTTGATAAACCTGCTGCAGACTCACTTTCACAGCTTTCTAGTGAGGGAAGAACTACAAGAATCTTGAACTTTTAGAAAAAACACGGGCAAAAGCCTTTATATTAAGAATTTATTTGCAATATACAAAAAGAATACATTCCTTTAATAAATCAAGGCATAAGTTACTTTTCTATAATTAAACATGAGCTACATTTTTGTTCCACTTACAGATTACATTATCTTTTCTTCTTGCAAATGGTGTTGTTCACAGTATTCCTGAATTCCTGCAAAGATGAAGAAAAAGTAATATAAGTACTATTTCAGTTGTATATCAGGAGTTTGTTGTTGCTGCATCTGTCTCCTGAGGGTACAAGTATCTGAAGCTGGGCCTTCCTTACACTGAAAGTGGTTTTAGAATTATTTTAAACAGCACAGCACCAGCTCTTTAGGGAGTTTTTGCAAGGGGTTTTTGTGTAGTTACAAGTGGAGGCACTGGTCAGTCAGTTGCCTCCCACTGGGTTATGGTGAGCACCCTCCACACATCTGCTTGAGAGCCTCAAAAGGTTCCTCTGAGCACAGGGACACCCCATGTCTGAAAATGAAAGTCTGACTTCCCTGAAGTCTAACGTTGAAACCAGTTATCAAATACAATTTCGTTATCACTTTAGCAGCCAGTCAGAAGTGATGCCCAGAAGTGAACACAGTCTTTGCACCTGCTGCTTTCAGAATTGTTGTGCCCCTCTCCTGATTTTATTATTTGTGGCACAGTAACACAAGCCTGTGCAACACCTTTGTATATCGCAGCAGTGCTCGGAGCAGAGGGGATTCATTTGCACAGTGATTCTCAGACTCACTTTGAATGATATTCCTGTAAGACAACGTAGCTGGAGACTCGGGTGCTTCAGCCAAGAAGGACTGGCCTCTGTCACAACTTTTTCCTTGAAGAACAGAGAAAAAACACAGAAACAAAGCAACAGGAAAAGATGAGCTTTTCTTTTTTTAGCCTTTATCCTGTTCCAGTTACACCCTTTCAAACAGCCACCTGCATCTATTCCTTTTGGGAAGCCCTGAAGTCAGTAACAGGACTAGAAATACAGTGTACAGTTTGACACAGGAATAGTACTAGCAGAAACCTTCAGTTGGGAGTACTGAGCTGTTCCTTGATGTCATTAATTCAGGTATTAATTGGTAACAGTTAATGGGCAAAGAAGCACACCTCCTCATGACCCACAAGACAATCTGGGCCATGCCAGTAACAGTGAGGTTAAAGCACTGGTTTTAATGCTTAACATCTACAAAATACTCTTCTTTGAAGTGGTTTATGATTTCACTCCATTTGCATTTCCAGGTGACTACCCAAAGAGAAAGATACGTTGTATTTCAGATATGATTACAGAGCTAAAAAGATGCAGCATGTAATCTTAATTGATTAAGGAAAAATTAAGGAAATTACCCCAGCAATTCCCACATTCCACACCAAGCTACAGTCATAGTTCCAGACAGAAAAACATTCTATCTAAAAGTTCTAAGAGACATCAGTGCCCATATCAGGGTTTTGCAGCAGTAACATCAGTATGGGAGGAACAACTTGCTGTAAGTGCAGTGCAATAAGTGACTTTACCTATCTGTGGATCCAGAGGCACTTTACCCAGGAGAGGAACACTCAAATTCTGGCACATCTTCTCCGCACCACCAGTAGTCGGAGGAAAGATCTGAGATTCATTCTGGGACAACACAAAAATCAGAGTTAAAATACTGCAATTCTGAGAAGAAGGCATTTTTGGAGCAATGTTAACTATCCAAGCAATGCCAAGGAAAGAACACTAATACACAGCCAGCCTTACCTTACACTTGGGACACACAAAGCCACTCATGTTCTCCACAACGCCGATGATGGGCAGCTTCACTTTGCGGCAGAAGTTGATCTCCTTCCGAACATCCTGAAGTGACACTTCCTACAAATAATAGCAAACACTTGTATTTCAACTCTTTCATGCTGAATCCATTCACTTACCTCCTTAGAGCTACTTTATAATGAATTATTACTGCTGTCTTAATATTTTTAGAAACATAAACCTGTGCTATGAGCTCTATCAACAGAGCAGGTACAACACTTCAAGCCTACTGGATGTGGTTCTGTTTTGAAATCTGACTCATCAAGATTCACCCACATTTATGTTTTTTATCTCCTATGTTCATCTCGTATCTTCTTTAAATGCAAATTTTTCACATTTTCATCTTACAGAAGGACCCTTGGTATTCTCCACAGAGTGAGGACAAGAACCACCAGGCTTACACTAGCTACCTTTTTTCCAATTAAATTTAAAATATCTTATTCTCTCCTCAGAGTTTTCATGTATATGACTCACCTCATCCATTCTCCTGTTCCCTTCCTCCTTCACCACCACTCTGGTACTGTCCTCAACACTTTGCTTCCTTTATGTGTTATCCTTTCTGCTGTTGTAGAAATACTTCATGTCACATGCTAGTTTGATCTCCTGTTCTGTTCCAAACCAGACATGAAAACCTCTGTTTGAACTGGGTGTGTTTCTAGTTTCAGCCTTCAGGGGCTGATTTCTCTTTTAAAAATGCACATGACAAAGCTGCCTACTGTGGTGGTTCACCGGGAGGTGACAGGCTGCTTCACAGGTGTCAAAGAGTGCACAGCTTATCACTTAAAAATGAAGCTTCTTACAAACCTTAACATTAAGCTATTGGTAAATTACAGATCCACAATGATGTTAAGTCTGATTCTGAAGGAAGAAATGAAACGGTGCATTTCCTTTCACCACACCGCTCGAAACAGCTTTTGATTGTGAACTGCTGTGGATCCCCATCCAGCTGCCCTGAGAAATCCACCTAACCCACAGACCAGCCAGAGTGCATTTCCTTTCACCACACCGCTCTCAACAGCTTTTGATTGTGAACTGCTGTGGTTTAGTGACCCATGTGGATCCCCATCCAGCTGCCCTGAGAAATCCACCTAACCCACAGACCAGCCAGCTGCAGGGGCAACACAACAAAGTCATTTCCCTCAGATTCTGTACCCTTAGATTTCTGTGAAATCAACAGCCTGGAAGCCAAGGACTGCCTTGAACTGCCATGATGCTTCCCTGGTGGATTCTGGCTCACACCTGGGGGGTGGTGACGATGACAGCGCCGTCGATGCGGGTGGCACTGAGGTACTGCACGATGGACAGGTGCTCATCTGATGTTCCTGGGGGCGTGTCCACGATCAGGTAATCCACTTCACCCCAGTCCACGTCACGCAGAAACTGCTTGATCAGCCCTAGAGGAAAGGGTAAGAATGTGGAAGACATTTTTAAATTTTAAATTTCTGGATCTTAGCTAACTACCCTATCTACATTACTATACAAGCTGATGATATTTCCACACTTGAAACCTTCGAAGAATGTAAATTACTTGGAAACACTCAATACATACCATTCTTTTTTGGTCCTCTCCAGATGACAGCATCATCAGGACTACTAAGCAAGAACCCCACTGACATGACACCTAAGTTTTCTTCAACATACTGAAAGAGAAGTAGAGAAACATAACAGTGAAGAAAGAGAAACCAACCCTGAACCCCTATTTTACAGAAAAAGCAGATGAGGGGCAAGACATTAATGAAATAAAGGCAGAGAACTATCTTTCTTCACAGGGCATTAAACACTGCATCCTGTGCAACACTCACCAACTACACTAAAACTGAAAATATGAAATTGTTACAGCAGTTTATGGAATCACTGGAGACAATGGAGGATAACAGCTTTCCCTCTCAGCACCATGCCTTTCTAACAGCATGCACACTACAGGGGATCTTTAGACAACCAACAGTACTGCAAAACCTTCTCTGCATATTCTAAAGATTAATAAGGTTTGTCTTGGGTGTCAGATACTTCTTGGCTGTCACAGAAAACATGACACACTACAGCTGCATGTTACCCCAAAATAACAAACCTGAGTAACTTATATTTACTGCCCATATTGCAAAGTCAGTAAACACAAGGTAACAAAACAATTCTAGAAATACAGCATTATTATTATTATTAAGAAATTTAACACTCTGATCTACATGGTCTATATCCCAATTCTGTATGATATGCATCTCAATTTTACAGATCTATTCCATATTCTATAAAATCTGAATATACATTCTGTAGTGTTCTCTAGATATCCCATAGAACATGGCTACAGGTTATATAGCTCTAGAGACTCTGGACATACAGACTCTGTAGATTCTATGACCTATATCTGTAGATTCTATAGAATCTGGGTATTTAAGTCATTAGAAAAGAATTAACAAGAGTAGTCCCTGCTCCTCCCTCACTCATTTTTCACTGTAGAAGATGGTGCCCAACCCAAACACATCCAATGAACTTTCTGGAACAGCTGCACCAACTCACCACTGGAGACCATCCAGATCCACTCTGATGAACCTGAAAGTTGAAGAGATACACAAAAGTTGCAATAGCAACAAATGTTACACAAAACATGAACATAAATCAAACCTGGGCAAAGAGTTCTCCTACCTGCAGGAATAATCCTGCTTTTGTGGGGCAGCTGAGGTAAAAATGCAAGAGCACCAGATCTCCATTAATAACTGAACAACAACTGTTCAACCCTTATGGAAGTTCACTCATCACTTTTTGCATTGGTAAGAAATATTCAAGGGCTGATAAAGCACATCATGCTAATACTACTCAAGTTTCAAATAGTCATTATTATGTGGCTGACGTGCAATGAAAGTTGGTTTGCAGAACCACTCATCCTGAAAGCAGATGACTCTTTTGCAAAATGTTATGCTGAACTTCTCCATGTCAGCTCATTTCGTTATCACTGCCCCACATTTCCCTTATGCACTCTTGTAGAAGCTCTACATCCAAAAGCCTGAATGTGCTAATGAAAAACTGAAAAAAAAAACCTTGAACAAGATGTTTGAGCATTCACTCACCTGTTCTCCTTCTAGACCCATAATTTTAGGAATTGATGGCCCACAGATATCTATGTCCAGCAAAGCAACCTGTAAAACAAACCAGCCAACCTGCCCCACTGGAAACAAGGCAGCACAGGGCAGTCTTTAAAGGTGATCTCATGCAAAGTCAAACTTTAACGAGCAAGGGCACACGATCGGTACCCGCCCGCAGGTGCTCGGGCCTGCCTCCCCACGGCCCGTCTGTCCGCGCCCTCTGCCCACCTGCTTGGTCTCGTCCGCCGCCAGCCCGTGCGCCAGGAGGGCGCTGAAGGTGCTCTTGCCCACGCCGCCCTTCCCGGAGAGCACCAGCACCGTGTGCCGCACCGCCCGCAGCCGCGCCCGCAGCTCCGCCGCCTCCGCTGCCGGGACACCGCGGGGACACCGCGCGGTCAGCGCGCCCACACCGCGCCCGAGCGGCACCGCGCCCCCCTCACCGCCCCCTCACGGCCGCTGCACTCACCCGGGTCCGGCCCGGCCGCGCCGGCCGCGCACAGCCCCTGGTTGGGGCATCCCTGGCAGGCGGCCGCCCTGCCCGCCTGGGCGCTGCCGGTCCCGGGGCACTCTGCAAGGGACAGCGAGAGCTGGGCCGCGAGTGCCGCGGGCGGGGGGCCCGTCCCGCCCCGTCCGGCCCCGCCGCTCACCCTCCGGTGCGCCCGGCGCCTCCGCCATAGCGCTGCGTCACTTCCGCCGCCGCCGGGGGCGGGGCCTCGCGCCCGCGGTGCCCGACCGCTGCCGCCAGGGGGCGCTGCCGCTGAGGGCTCCGGTGTCCCGGGGCACCCGTGAGGGACCGCGGCACCCCCGGGGCCCCGTGACACCCGTGAGGGACCGCGGCACCCCCGGGGCCCGGTGACACCCGTGAGGGACCGCGACACCCCCGGGGCCCCGGTGACACCCGTGAGGGACCGCGACACCCCCGGGGCCCGGTGACACCACGAGAGCCCCCGTGACACCGCCAGAGCCGCCGTGTCCCCGGAGCTGTGTGGCGGCGGGCTCCGCTGGCCCCCGCCGAGGGAGGCGCAGCAGTAGCTCCGCTGCCGCGCTGCACAAGGCTCACTCCCAGGTTATGTACTATTCCGGGATAACCGCACTGTTGCGGCATTTCATGGCAATTCTGAGTATATTAATTCTGTATCTTGCTGATAGACGATTTCCATTAATTTAATTGGTACATTTATTTGGAAGATTACACTGCCTTAACTTGGCCAATCAGCTTCTGAGCAATTAAGATGTCCCTGTGTTTGGTATATTAAAAAAAAATCATTTTCCAAACCAAGGAAGCGTACACCAGCTGTGATGTGACCTAGACCCTATTCCTGGCCACCTTATCCCAGTCACTGCTCCCTCCCTCTTTCTCCCATAGCTGCCTGAGCACAGCCTAACATCACTGCCTAGGTGCTGTAAAAAGGATATTTTCCTGATCTGAGCACAGATGGGAGTCTCAAATACTCCCATTTCTGACCGATTAGTCCCAAAACTTGTTTGTTTTAACATATAAGTGTGTAAGTTATTATTTGAGGTGGTGTCACCTTGGAAATAGAAAAGTATCTGATACTATTTGGAAAGCTGCCATGACACCTTGGTGTTAAATCTGTCTTTTTGAGAGAGTTATACTGCAAAGTTATCTCCTTTGGGACACAGCACTTCAACAACTGCAAACTTTTTAGAAAGAACACTCTAGGAATTAAATAAAAAACCAAGCCAAACACAAAACCAGTAGCTGTCCACCTACCAAAAAACCAAACCAAACCAATCCAAACCAAAACCCCAAAACAAAGCAGAACAATAAACCCCACCAAAAACAAACAAATAAACAAACAAAACCTAGAAAAAAAATCTGAAAATACATTTCATTAATGTCTTTGAGGAGCTTTCAAGCATATTTACTTCAGGTAAAAGCTCAAGACCACTGGATATTTGTACAGCTCCTGTACTTACTGCTCTGTAATTACCTTCCATAGGAAACAACTGAACAAAAAGCTGTTTGGAAGTGGAGTCAAATGTTTAAGCAAATTCAGATGTCTGTGGTAGGAGGAACTGGCCAGTAAGACATATCTGAGAAGTTTATACTGTACCTTGCCCTTGAAAAAGCTGGCTTGGTGTGAGGCCACAGCCAGTACAGCACTTCAGGTCTGTGCTTCCTGTCCAACATATGGATTAGATTCACTGATGTCAGCAAGACTTTCCACATTTTAAACTGAGGTACGTGTCCAAATATTTTTCTTTTAGGTCCAACAGATCAGTCCCTGTTCCCAAGGTTATATAGAACATTCCCCACAAGAAGCACCAAAAAGGAAAAATGAATTCCTTCCTCAGCCCCCTGGTCCTCTGAGCCAGCGAGGGCTCCTCGTGCAGGGCTCTCTGGGTGAACAACAGGCTTTAGAGTGTTTTAGAGTGACATTTCTGCTCACCTTTGATCCAGTTCTATCTCCACGTTAGGCAGACTGGTAGTAATAACAATTGGGAAGTCCATATGGCAATATTTACCAAAAATATCAATAAGTCTGCTTCTTCCTGAAGCTTTGCAAAGCAAGGCTCTGTCTTTTTCCTTACTACTCTATTCTAGCCCAAGGCTGCCAGGCCTTTCTTGCTTTTGGAAGAGCCAAAGGAGATGAAGTTACACCAAAAATTCCTTGAGAGTAAGAAAGCAGAGATGGAGCAACACATTTCCCTCTTTGTGATCAAGGTGATTAGAAATGCTTAAACATATTTTCCAGTGATGTACAATTTGAATTATGCTAAGTGAATCTGTCCCCTAAAACACAAGAGATGGGAAACCACAACTCTGGTCTGCTCTTTCTCACTTCCAGCAGTGCTGGCATGAAGGTTCCCCCTGAACACCTCCTCCTTTTTGCACTGAGGCTTCCCCTCATGCCACACAGCTACCGGCTGTTTGTCACCCTTGTGGTCTGTCACTAAAATGACAAACATTAAAAGCTGTGTGTTAAATACTTTTCTTCAGTGAACTCACACGTGAGGCCAGTGGAGACGGATGGAAGAGCAGCTCCCTCCAGCCAAAGTTACAGCACTGAGCATTCTCAAGTCACTGTAAATGCCAGCAAACTCTAACCTGAGGCATTATAGGAAGCTAATGAGAACAATTTGTTGTTTAGCACAACAGCATCAAATATGGTTTAGATTAAGGTCTTCCCCCTTCTCAGCATCAAAAGAGATGAACAGATGACCTAGAGCAGGATTTTCCTGACAAAACTCAGGTCCATTTTATTAATGAGAGGTGCTTTAACCTGAGGAACACATTGGACAGCATCAACTATTACCCTGGAGTGGAAAAAGCAGCTGAGACTGAGTGGCTACTGTAGCCTTTCCTCTGCCTCCTCCCTGCTGAGTAGGAGCCTGATTGAGCACAGGCCCTTCCCTTGCAGCTGAGAGGGATGCAGGAAGAAGAGGCTTCTCTGTCCCAGGGCCCTGCTTAGCCTCGGTGTGAGAGGCTCCCCACCAGTTATTCCCTGCCTGCTCCCACTGCTGGAGGGGACAGTGGCACCTGAGCAGGGCTGTGCCTTGAGCTGGTTTCTCAGAGGGAGCTGGATTGTATTTGTGGGGTGCCCTCGTGTTGGAAGGAATGATGAATTTGACTATGTTTTCAGAAGGTTAATTTATTATTTTATAATAATAATTTAATAGTATTAGAAATAATATTATATATACTATTATATTAAAGAATACTAAACTGTACTAAAGAATACAGAAAGGATACTTACAGACTAAAAAGGTAGTAATGAAAAACTTGTGACTCTCTCCAGAGTCCCGATACAGCTTGGCACTGGTTGGCCATTGAGTCAAAACAATTTGCATGAAATTAATGAAACAATCACCTGTTGGATAAACAATCTCCAAACACATTCCTAAGCAGAAAAACACAGGAGAAGCAAATGAGGTAAAACTGTTTTTCTTTTTCTTTGAGGCTTCTCAGCTTCCCAAGAGAAAATCTTAAGCAAAGAGATTGTTCAGAAAATGTAAATGTGACACAGCTAGCTGTGCTGTGCTGGCTCCTCAGTCTCCAGCTCCACTGCACAGTGTCCCCTCTGGTTTTGATTTACACTCTTCTGTGCCTTTCAGGTTACAAACCCACACCAAATCAAATCAAAATCCAGCTGAGGTGCAGGTAAGGGCAATGCAGCAAACAGCACACCAGTGTCTGCCACAGACTTCATGTACTGTCTGTAAAAGGGCTTGTTGTTGAGACCTTTGTGCATTTGACAGACCTTAATGTTACAGACTGACACAAAGTTACTGAACTAAAATGCCCCATTTGTATGCGGTTTTAAACTGTTGATTCTCATTGGTGTCGTCAATGCACGAGCAGTAGCAGCAGAGCAGTTTGCAATAGAGGGCAGTGTCTCTGTGCTAATGCCCTGTCAGCTCCCTTATCACTAACACAGCAGCACTCCAGTGGTGAACGTACTTCACAATCTCAAATGATAACGACTCTGTCTTGTTGGAAGGAGGAAAAAATAATCGGTATTATTTGTTTACTTACGTTCTGTTTTTCATTAAAGGATCACCTCATTCACTACTGAAACGAGGGCATATCCAAAGGAAACTTGGCAAGCATTCTGCTGACTCTAGTACCACTACCTACTTTAGGATTAGCCATGAATAAAATTATTCTTGTCAGCTCTAGTAAAAAGCAGATTCATGTGGATAAGTTTTGCAGACCTTTTCCTTTCTCACCATCTATTATCCAAAAAACTGACATTATTCATTAAAGTTTTCCTGAAACCCTTTGGCAGTCTGAGACATACCTGCAGCACTCAGGAGCAGAGCAAGTGCTTTCTGCTTCAACAGACCCCGATCAATAAATTACAGTCTGAAAAAGCAATGTTAAAGAACAGATTAAGCACTAAGTATTTCAGATAGTCAAGATGGAAACCTACTTAGAAATTTAATTTTCTGATGAAAAAATAAATATAATCCATCAGATCATAGAGAAGAGGAAAGAAGCCCAACCCCAAATATCCTGCAGAAAATAGATTGAGATTGTCTGGGTCAGTAGCTGTGAGCAGTGCCAGCTCAGATTCAGTACACTGATTTATACACTTTACCATTGTACCAGGCTGGTTACCTGAAGTTTTTCAGAGCAGTTGCCTAAATAAGTGTGCAGCACTAAGGAATTCCAAATCACTTAGGAAGGTCAGTACTTCAGTTTGGAGACAGGAATACCCTACTGGAAAAAAAAAAAAACAACCTGAAAAAAAGGCTGCTGAGAAAACACCACTGACAAAACCAAAGTTAACCTTTTCTTTTTGCATCCTTTAATACTTACTCTTAGTGTTCAAGTAAAATCTAGAGTAAATGTGAAATAAAAAAAATAAATAGTGACTTATCCCTGCAAAAGTTTAATGTGCAGACCAAATTCTTATAAAGTTTTGTGTGGAGAAAGAAGACTAAATGCAGATACTTGTCTCAGCCTTTCAGTTTGGTGAGTAAAATACATGTACTTTCCATAGAATGCATTAAACACTTGGGTGAAGAGAGGGATCTAGCAGGCAAAGCAGGGCATTAAAGAAAGGGTGAATTTAAGTCCCAAGACAGTAGCTTACACCACACCAGCAGTTTTGAAGCCAAGGGCTCAGGCTGCAAGTTGTTTGAAATCCCTGCTGAGTGCTTCAGCTCCTGCATCAGGGCTGAATTCAGTGCAGACAATATCAGGTGCTCTCAACATGCAGGGTCAACTCTGTCACA